GCATACTTCCCAGAGTGCATGAGTGTGCTTTGGCAGGACCCTACCCTTACTCACAAAGGGGAGAGTAGAAATAAAAGCTCCCTACATATTCCCCCATTGTACACCAGAAAAGCACAGGGCAGGATTTTTCCATAGGCTTGCTATACGTGGCTTTTTTAGTTATCTAATATCTCAACCTTGCTGCACCAAAACAGTTCTTATGCACAATAACTCCTGTTAGAAAAAAGTGTGAGTTCTACATGAAAAGGGCTGCAGGATAGGGGAGATCAGCCATTGAAACTGTTCATTGCTATATGTGCTCCAGGGCTATGAATATTCATTTATCCTTGAATTATTCCTTTCTCAAATGTTATGAATACAACTTTAACGTTTTAAAATTCTCAAGCATTCTAGATCTCAGTAAAATAAAAGTAGAGAGTATGTTAACGAGACTGCAATGTGTGCCTTTTTGTTGATGGCCTTGATTCTGCAAACACCTATCCATGTATGTGAGTACTCCCATTAACTTAAATGAGCTTACTCACATGTACAAATGTTTGAAAGATCAAGTCCTATTAGTGAAAACTTTTACCACTCAAACTGGACAAAGTGAACTCAGCTTACTGTACAAATCATTATACATTTGGGGTCATACTTTCTCCTGTCTAAATTCTAAACTAAAATAATAGCTATGTTGGGAACCGCTTTGTTATCCTTTTGTTCTTTTTTTTTCCCCCAAAGCTTTTGTTAATTTTAGTTAGTTGTGTGTTATGTGACAGGTTTTTTTTTTTTTGCTGTTAAATACTTGTTTGTGAAAAACCTGTTCAGGAATTGTAATAAAGAATTAAAAGGTCTAAATAACAAATAATAAAATATTGTTCAAGTCCTCTCTTTTTGTCTCAAATATGTCTTAATTTGGCTCTAGAGAGGAAGGCTTAGCTAGAGAACTGTTAGAACCAACATATTTCAAATAATGTTATACTTACTGAAAGAAGAGTTTGAGACTCCTAGAATTAAATTGTGGCCCCAGTGAAGTAAATGGGAGTTTTGCCACAGACTTCAAAATTTGAACTGGTGTATGGAATCAATGATGAACACACACAGAGCTGCTGCAACCTTAATTCCTGCCCTGGATAAATTCTTGCTATTCAAACTTGCTGTCTGCCAAATTCTGCCTTCAGACACATAAACTCCAGCTGAAGCCTAGGTGAGTTGTGTACATGTATGGAATGGCAGATTCTGACCTGTGAAGGAAAGACAAACATTTGTTTAGTGTGAGTGATATATCAGCCATTTCACCACTCTAAACATAGTTTTCCAGATCCTAAGCTGTGAGTAAGGAGAGCTCAGCATGGGCAAATGCAAAGGCAGCTCTGACCCTGCGACCACTTGGGTGTTGGTCCGGTATTTGATGTAGATCACAGCCTGAAAACTGCTCTAATTTATGCTAGTTGCCAACAACCTGAAGGACTGGTTTTTGGCATCCTGAGTGTAGAAATGTCCTGGCTGCCTCCTTTCCCTAAGCCAGGCTCCCTACCAGGAGTGCTGGTGTGGGAGTTGTTATGGCTCTACACCTGAAGATCTCCTTACACTGGAAGAATCCTCTTGTGGCTCAATTAGCCAGGGCAGGATCTCAGCCAATGAATGTAATCCTTTCATTGATAAAGGTTTTTAAGGCTTAATGCAATATGCATCTTACGTTTCCTGTAGTCTGGTAGCTTCAAGGGTGTTTTTTTTGTTAAGGGATTGGGCTGGTAGTTGTGAGGATGGGTTGTTTGTAGCCATCTCATTGGCAACAGTTGTTTCCTTGGTCTGACTCTGTGTGAAAACATCCCCAAATAATCTACTGAAAGGTGTAAAATAAATAGGGACTCGTTTTCATTTAGATATTTTGTTACATTGTAAAGAGATGCACTGTACATGTTCCAAAGGGCCAGTCTGAGGCTTACTGAATCCAACAGCAATTTTGCCACTGAATTTACTGGGTGTTGGATCAGACATGCATTTTCACGACTATAACCATAGTATTTAAATCAGAAACTCAGTACTTTGCAATTTGTATAATCTTTTGTTGTTAATGTTACTTGAAACAAAATTTATGATGCAGCTGGTTTGAAAATACTATTTGCTCACACATCTTTTCCTGCATAGCCCGTGGTTACACTAACATACATCACCTGAAGAGGTGGATATACCAATAAGTATACATTGAGAAATGAGAAGACCACATTACAAAAGTATTAGTTGTGGTACATCTCTGTGTTCATGTCTGCTCTATGTGGTCAGTGAAGGAATTGGGAAGAGGGGAATTGGGGGTATTAGAGAGACATTTAGGGTAAAATTCTGGTCCCACTGAAATCAATGGCAAAACTCCCATGATGTTTGGATGGACATGGAGAAGAAAAAGGGGAAGAAATATTGAGGGAATGCATCCTGGGGAAAAGTAGTTTGTCTGTTTTAACTGATCCCACAACATACCTACAATCTGTTTCGAAAACAATTTTTCTCCAATAAATTGCGTTGTCCAGACTATTAGTATCCAGTATATTTAGAGTGCTCTGCATATTAGGTAACATAAGTTGTCTAGGCTTCTTAGGTTATCAGCTACCAGAGTTAAAAAAGGCATGGGGTTGACACCATGTACTTTCTGCCTGAAGTGGATGCTACAGAATCATTCTTTAATGGAAAGGCTGTAACGAAGGGGCAAGTTCCACACCTGTTAGTTACAAGTCTGAGTTTCTTGTCAAACTGGGAGGGTGTATCAAATGGGATCATGTCCTGGGTCTACTACTAGTCAATATTTCCATTAATGTCTTGGATTGAATGGAGAGAATGCTTATAAAATTTACAGATGACACCAAGATGCGAGGGATTGCAAGCACTTTGGAGGACAGGATTAGAATTAAAAATGATCTTGATAAATTGGATAATTGGTCTGAATTCAACAAGATGAAATCCAGTAAAGACAAATGCAAAGTACTACACCTTGAAAGGACAAATCAAATGTACAACTACAAAAATGGAGAATAACTGGCTAGGCAGTAGTATTGCAGAACAGAATCTGTGGGTTGTTTGTGTATCACAAATTGAGTATGAGCCAGTAATGCAATGAAGTTGCAAAAAAAGGCTAATATCATTCTGAGGTATATTATTAGGAGTGTCATATTTAAGATACAGGAAGTAATAGTTCCACTCTGCTCTGCGGAGACCTCATGTGGAGTATTGTGTGAAGTTAAGGAAGCTACCCTGTAAAAAAGATGTGGACAAACTGGAGAGAGTCGAGGAGAGCAACACAAGGCTTAGAAAACCTGACCTATGAGGAATGGTTTAAAAAAAACTGGGCATGTTTAGTCTTGAGAAAAGAAGCCTGAGGAGGGATCTGGTAAATCTTGGTAAATCTTCAAATGTTAAGGACCGTTATAAAGATGAAGGTGATTAATCATTCTCCATGTCCACTGACGGGCAGGACAAATAAATAATTGGCTTACTCTGTAGCAAGGTGTCAAGAGAAGTGTAGGAGAACACTTCAACCTCCCTGGCCACACAATAGCAGATGTTAAGGTAGCCATCTTACAGCAAAAAAACTTC